CACCACAAACGCCATCACTGATCTCTGACATCACAAACGCCATCACTGATCTAATCTCTGACACCACAAACGCCATCACTTACATGATCTCTGACACCACAAACGCCATCACTGATCTCTGACACCACAAACGCCATCACTGATCTCTGACATCACAAACGCCATCACTGATCTCTGACACCACAAATGCCATCACTGATCTCTGACACCACAAATGCCATCACTGATCTCTGACATCACAAACGCCATCACTGATCTCTGACATCACAAACACCATCACTGATCTCTGACACCACAAATGCCATCACTGATCTCTCACACCACAAACGCCATCACTGATCTCTGACATCACAAACACCATCACTGATCTCTGACACCACAAATGCCATCACTGATCTCTGACACCACAAATGCCATCACTGATCTCATCTTTGACACCACAATCGTACTTCATGACATTTTTTTCACTTATCATGAAAACAAGTTGGATATAAAATGTTTTGAGAATAAATATTTTTAGTTATGGTAAAAAATAAAATAAAATAAATTAAAAAGTAAGTCACATTTATGAGTTAGATAATAAAACTTCTGAAGAAACCATTTCATTGCCAACAAGACAAATTTATTTGTCACACATGAAAAATCTGAGTTAAAGTTTTTCTGTAGCTGGCATTTAACACCAGATACACCAAGAAATTACTACAACAGCACATAGTGGTACAGACATACGACACCTCCCACAGCAAGACCTCCAAATTCTCATAACCCCCAACCCCCAGACTTGGCAGAAGGTTATGCGCAGCCGTCACCATACATTTTGGGATGTTGCATACGGTTAAAATAATGGCCAAAAGCACCACTACTTTGGCCAGCTTTCTTTCCCGTGTTGAGAGATTATCCTCAAAACTGCTGGGTGGTTTTGTTTTACTTTGCGTAGAAATATTAACCCGATCGATGCGCACCGCGGTGCGAATTTTAGAAGAAGATTTGAGTGCGTAGATCATCCAAAACGTACAGACGATGATGATAGCTTGTGATGTTGCAGACAGACACATCCCAGCGATCAGGTCTGCGATGAATACACAAAGGACACATTCTTGTTAGTACACAATTTTTAACTGCGTAGCGTACACTACGGTTGCATTAATTCCCGTCCCTAAAATAGGAAACGTAACGCATTGTAATGGTGTAAACATGAAGACAGGTAAATGGATACCTATATGCAAGAAATAAATTATCAAAATCATGAAAACGCATCGTGTTGTTGTGAATACTTGTTTAACTCTAAAAGGGGAAATAACGCAAAAACATCGCTCGGCGGATATAACCGCGGTTATCCAGCATGAGATTAAATACGCGATATACCTCATCCAGCTGAAATAGAAAGCGCCGATGGTGTACGGGTCGACAGGGCTGTTGGGGTAGACGATGTTGACCAAGTAGCAGAAACAGCTGGACAGCTGTAGGGCGGACACCGTGAGGTCGGTGAAGGACAGGGTCCAAAGTCCAACACTCATGCTGTCCTTGAAACCCAGTCTAAAGAACACGAAGACGTTGACGCTGTTGGTCAAGACGCCAGTCATCGCTATAACGCCGTGGACGCTGATGGTTAGCGAAATGAACAGGTACTCCATCACCTCATCGGAGACTATTTCCTCTTTTCCGCCGTCGACTATTTCCACATTTACGACACCACCTCCAACGATTTCCGTCATATTCGCGGTTGATATTATTTCTTCAGAAACCGCCATATTCATTTGAAAATACTATCTTTTCTTTTAACGAAAATTAATTTAACAAATTGCAGCAGAAAAAAACTTTAGGACAGCGGAGCAAGCGAATATGAATATACACCGATCTGTCGCTAACAAAACGAATCTAGGAAATTATTCAATTAGTTTTATTATCAAAGTATGTAAGTAGACTATGTAGAAATATCAGTCTATTAGAGTCACTTGTTTAGGATTACTCACATTAAACTACATGATCCGCCGAGAAAGACGTACTCTTGATAGATACAGATCAAAACACAACGGGTAGTAATTACCGGGAGTAATGTGCAAGCGTTAATTAACTTACATACAATTATTTTTTAACGACACATTTCAAGTGCGTTTACTGTCGCATTATATAATTATTGGCAAATATAATACGTAGTTTATATAATTTCTGTCTTCGTGTTTGAATAATTATCTCCAAGAACGGCTTTATTAAATGTATATTTTAATTCTCTTAAAGTAACAGTAAGGCGTAATTTTACTAGAAAAATAAAAGAGTTATCCGAAGCAAAGAACAGAATAATAGTTTATAACTATTCTAGTAATTAAATCTAACAACTAAAATTAAAAAGTAACAATTAGTCTCTTCAGGTCATTAAAAAAATAGAAAATAAAATAATTGACGAAAATTATAAATGAGAGTCATTTGATATTTTAGAAACAATGTTTCGTTATTCTCTGAGATATAGTTTTTTTTTTAAAAAAGACTAAATAAGATGACATAACTGCGTGTGTATTTAATATTTAAGAACCCTCTATTTGGTTACTCTTTAAAGCTGGAACTATACTAAGAGAATTAAGATAATTATCGTTACGTTTATCAGCAATTAGAATAATTGTTCCGCCATTGTTACATTCAGGTTTTTGTTTTACTGATAACTATATGATGGGATACAGCAAAAGGAAAAAAATGCGCAACGGAAAACGGAGCACAAAAAGAGTATGCAGGAGGAAATTTTCCTTAAAAAATCGATCATTTATAGACGTTTGGTAAATATGTCCAATTGTACATTTGGACAATAAAACATTTTTCCACAAACTATTACCAAACGGAAGTGTATTAGTGTTGTAAGTTTGTATCTGCGCATTCGATTGTGTTTGCATAGTTTTCAGTTGCGCATTTTTCCGTTGCGCATTTATTTCTGGGAATCACAGAATCACACGCTTATGCTTCAGATGTTAATTAAACTGATAATGTATCGTTCATCATAGCTTTTCTGTTACTATTGCAATTTAAGTATGCTTTTTTTTGTTACTAAATAAAACAGGTCAAAACTGTTCAATCCTGTGTTTATTTATATTTGTTGTGCTATAAATGTTTTGTTGCATTCTTCAACACGTAGTAGTAAATAAATGATTTCACGTAGATAAAATATGCTTTACAAATAAAAAAGAAATATAAATAACATTGATGCAGATGAAATAGAGTTCGTCTGTGTAAATGAATAGATAATTTGCTGAGCTATATGTATCATCGATTTTACTTTGCTCGACTCGAGACAGGTACCCATTGCAGCTGAGTGAGCTCAGGGATTTCAAAAGAATGGAGAGGTTGACATTGAGAGGTCTACGTTCTATTGAACAGCCACACATACATATAATCCTTGAGGTGAAGGAGTGTTACATTTTTTTTATACTTATGTATGTTTTCATAAATATTTAAAAGGCTATTAAACAGTCATGAAAATTTCAAGATGGTCGAGCATCATGGCTAGACTGGGTCGTCGGACATCGGACAAAAAGATGCTAAGAACAAGTAGGGCTTGTAAGTAGGTCACAATGTCTCGTTCTCGTACTATGCAGCTAGTAGATTTCGAGACCGTACACTTACAAGCCCTATTCCCAGTGGGCTGTCAGGACCGTTGATGTAATGGGCATATTAGTGCTCTCTAGATCTAAATTATCCCGTAACCCTTATGTCTATGGTTAAGTGTCGGGGTGCCTAACCATCTCCATGCCTAACCACAGCCGGATGCCTCCATCTAGATGGCTCGCCTATAACTCCCTATTACTACATGGGATTCGGTGTCACCCCCACACACATGATTCTGTCACCACCGCCTTGTGGCACTACAAGCGGGGTAACATGAGGTGTGTGCACAGCCAAAATGTTTTCATAAAAAGCGTTTTAATAACAAGCTTTTATGTAATAATCAGAGTTTCTTCCAGGCATCTCTTCTTCATCTTTTTACCGCCCCCCCCCCCCCCCCCGAACGAAATGAAATTTAAATAATTTATATAGAAAATATATACTTTTAACAGTGTCCGCCCCCCCCCCCCCCCCCGAAGAAAGTTTACCGCCCCCCCCCCCCGAAGATTTCAAGTGCCCCCCCCCCCCCCCCCGGAGAAAAATGTCTGGAAGAAACACTGGTAATAATGCACTAAAAGTAGAAAATAAATTATACACTACTATTTAAATAACTATAAAGAAAAGCATGGGCCATTTCAGTATCTATTGGATACCTTTACTAATATATAGGAACATACCTTTTCTTTATAGTAATTTAAATAGTAGTGTATAATTTATTTTCTATTTTTTAGTGCATTATTACATAAAAGCTAGTTATTAAAACGGTTTTTTATGAATTTTTTTAGTACTTTACATGTTTTTATTTACAATATAGAACTATATTGTAAATAGTGTATAGAACTGCCTACTAATTTGGTCGAAATTAGAATTAATTCATATAAATTAAAACGCATTTAATGTCACGATGCATTGTCTTCATGTCTTGACCCACGTACCAATTACGAACTATATCTGTCAGTTAGAAGTGCCTGCAATTTCACAGGGCACTTCGACCTAGACAGACAGACAGACAGACAGAGGAGGTGAGTTAAATAAAAGCTTGTAAAAATAATTAGAATATAGTTTCCACTTTGTCGCCCACGATCTATCGCTAGTTAACGATCTTCTAATGAAACGACTTCACCGTCCATTTATCCATTAGTGAAATTTGTAAACAGCGTGTGTTAATGTGTTGAAGAAGTTTGATGGTAAATTTTTATGAAAACATATACCAAAACATTAAACAATTGATGTTTCATTTTTTTATTACATTTTCAAACAGAAAAAAACATTTATCGGGATTGGCAAAACAGAATGTTAAAATAATAGTGAGAGGGTCGTATTTTAGTTCATCAGTAGATTGAGGATATTTTTTTATGATAAGAATTAAAATTTGGAATGTGTCAAAGGCTAAAATGTGTATACGCAATAGTATAACTGGGAAAAATAGTCCGT